TTGCAGTCTAGTGGCGAGACATGTATCAATAATTACGTGATTATAAATTTTGTTAAATTCAATGAAGGAAAAAGATTATGGTGTTATGAGTGACAATAACGGTAGGAGAAGAATTCAGGCTGTTGTAAAGGGAGTTAGAGACAGAAAATACAATATAAATGAAGGTCCTGAGGTAGAAACAAATTGATTGCTAGGAAATGAAATACAGCTGTTGAAATGAAAACATACTAATCACAGGAGAAAGTGATATGAAGATACAGAGATTAGGACGACCAGTCCTGAAAGGCCTCGTGGGCTTTTATTGTTACTTGCATTGTGCCCATTAGCTTACTGTAAAGCATTCTTTCAGTTTCAATGTCTTTTTATGCTTAAGTATAATGCACCTTCTTTACTTACTAAAAAATTAGCAAGTGGAAAATATCTTAAGGAAGAGAATAAATTTATGGCTGCACAAGTGAAAGTTTACTATTCCGTGGTCACTTATAACTCCCAAGTTGTAATGTTACAATCTGATGATGAAACCGAATAGGGTCAGTTCATGTAAACTATTCAAAACAGAGCAGCTTTTTCCTTTGTGTACTTGGGAAAAATGGTATAGATAGATAGTGGAATATTCAAAGTTATCTGCTCGGAACAAAGTGTCAGGAGTATCTACATTAAATGTTGGATTTGGGCAAATTTGTAGGGTATGAGTATAGTCTTGTGCAGAAAGACATGGATTTTTGGTGTCAGATCTAAAGTCAAATTCTAACTTTGCAGCTTTCTTATTTGGGAGTTTGGCAGAGACTTAACCTCTGTGAATCTCATTTCCTAAACTATAAAATGGGAGTGATAATATCTGCCTCACAGTGAAAGAATTTAATGAGGTATATGCCTTAGCCAGGAACCTCTTCAAAATAAAATGTAAGTCAAGAATTAAACTACTAATTCTGTATTTGGGTGGTTCAAGCCCAGGACAATGGAAAGGAGGAGGAGGGGGAGTGAAGTGTCATAGATAGAAACTCTGAGACAATGATTTGTTGCATGAGTGTTATTGGGAAGCATTTTGGGGAACCACGTCTCTAGGGGAGTGGAGAAGCTGAACTGCAGTGGAGGTCTCAGCCAATTTCAAGAAGCTCTGGGATTTGGATGGGCGTTTATAAGGGTCCCGAACGGAGACAAAGGCTCTGGGCCTGTGTATTCCCGCAATCACCAGTCATTGGGTGCAGGCTTGGAAGAGAGGTGACAAGACTTGAGATGGGACAGCTGATTTTCTTTAGTGTGGGAAACAGCTGTAAGCATCTGCTGCTCATAGGAGGCTGGAGGAGTGGGTGCTTCGGGCCTGTGAGGAACGAGATAACGAGGAACTCCTACACCACTTCACAGAGTGCTGTAGTGACTCATAATAGTGCAGTGGGGATGCTGTAGTTAGCCACACAGCTTTGCAAGGAGACCTTTCAAAGCAGTACACGAAAGACAGAAAAACAGGGAAATTTATTCGCATGGCTCCCTCCTGTCTCCCATTTCCACTGATCAAGCTTATCCCATGCCTCCTGCCTCTTAGGAAGCCAGATTGCATGCCCCACATTGTGGAATCCACAAAGTGCACAGTGATCAGGAGAGAGAATGGAGGAGATCATTGAAAGAATTCAAGAAAATATAGAAGATTTATATCCAGTTGAGTAGATAAAGCAAGTAGCCTGGTATATAGCTTGGAATAAACATTCGTTAAATAACTAACACTTACATAGCCCCTTAATATGTGTCTGCCCCAATTCTGAGTTCTTTCTTTTTCCTCACAGTAGCTTGATGAAGATGCTAATACTAATATTTACATTTTGCAGATAAAGACGTTGAAACTCAGATAGTAAACCAGTAGTAAGTACCGTAGCAGAGATTTTATAACCAGTTGTCCTTTCAAACCAGTCCACTATATTGCCTCTAAGTGACGATGATTATTTTTATTATTGCTATCATAATGAAGGATGTCAACATTTTATTATTATATGTATCATTATCCAAATACATTCAGATACATTAGGCTTTACAAAAGATTCAGTAGTTTTTACCTTTATTTGTAAACTAGTAATCACAAAATGTTTTATACGTATGAAAAGTGATACAGGAAGTCCTGAAACTTATCCAAATTTTCTTACCTGTATAGTAGAAAACAGGATCACGAGATAAAAGAAAATATGCATGGCTCATTCAATAAAAGATATCTTCTGCATTGTAATTCTTGTATCAGGATTACTGCAGTTTGGTCTGGAAACAGAGAATCTGCTAATCTGGGGACTCTATTTTCATTTCTACCATTAACTGATTTGTTACAGTAGATCATTTCATCTCTTCATGTGTACTTCAATATTTCTAAAATAGGGTAATGAGCAACGCCTATCCCATGTCTATCACAGGATTGTTTTCTTGAGGATAGAAATAAGACAATATACCCCAAATGAAGAAACATTGAAAACAACCTGAAACTATTTGGAAAAAATTTTTAAGTACTTTGAAAGCTCTTAAAAAAAAAATCTCTGGATAAAACATAGATAACTTATATAATATCATAGAGAATCCTAGAGTGGTTTTCATCATCTAATCTTTGATGGGATCATCCTTTTTATTACATCCTTTCTACTGACACATCTTCATCCTGATTGATGTAATGAAAACTTATATATCAAGAATAAATAATTTATTCAGCTCTTCCTACTTGGTCATTTAACAAAGAATATTTGATATGAATATAACTATAGTGTTCAGTATATGTGACACTCTCAAGTATGGCCATAAAACAATTAGGAACATATGATTGATTATTTTCAATAATTATATGCATTTATTAATTACTTTGCATTTTGAGATTACCCTTCATTAGTTTTTCTCGTTTTGTCTAATTTCTTAGATTTATTTTTAGGACTTCCTGGTATCTCCTGGGTTTACAGTGTGTTTTCTTTGTATAATGGAAACTGATACTCTTACCTATCTCTCAGCTTTAGCTTTCCTTGTCAAGGTCTCTAAGCACACAGTGATTTTATTTTACATTTCCATATCCTGAAGATGGGCTGCTTTTACTGCTTCAAATAATTTATATTTTTGACTTTGCATCCAAATCCTGTTACTCCCTTGCATCTTACCTGTTCATGTATGTGTTCAATTATATTGGACCTTTTCTTTTCTTATGCAAGATCTCTTCATTTACATTAAATCATTGTTAGAGCACAAACTTCTTTGTAGATGTATTTTTTAAAAATTTTTTGTGATTGTTCAGAAAATCACTGTCATTTTGGGAGTGACATAAAATTGGATATATGCATACCCAAGTAACTATTCTTATAGTGGTACTTTGTTAGTTATTCTAAATTATCTTAAAGAATTATAAGATGAATTATAGAAGAAATATTTATTTTTTATATGCTATCAAAAGTACAAAGGTAAAAATTAATAATGAATTCAGTTTTTAGGTAACATTTGATTGTTATTTTTCCTGCTAAAAATTCTCATTAATTCATATGTAACTGCCTTGAAATTTGTACCTTAAGGACAAAGAAAGGTCAGCAATCCCTCTAACTCCTGGTTCTTTGTCAAAAATGGACACAGTTAATGAGGTTTGTTTGGTACAGAACAAATTCTCAGACACAGATAGAGATCCTTTCAATGGAAACAAATTTGTTTGGCTTTACCAGGTTACTTAGCGATTAATAATAGCCTTGAGATGCAGGTCAGAAAGGTCATTGTACCAGCTTGCCAACACAATCTAAATGTACAGCTAGCCCAGCTCTGTGGGTGCAGAAGCCCCCAAAATACTGTGCATAAAGTAAAACAGGCTATTTTCTGACTCCTTTTTTCATATTAATAAGCAATTTTCAAGAGAAGGGTGGCAAATGAGGGCCATGCCACTCCAAGTAATTCATTTATTTTGCAATTTAATCTTATGTTGAAAAAAATTGCTCTGCTGCAATAGCATAGCATGGTGATTTTTAAACGTCAGTGTGCCTCATAAGTAACCTTGTCTGAAGTATTGTATTAGTAGCCTTTAACAGAAAATTGCAACAAAAGTATTTCTAGACTTTGAAGTAGAAAGGAGAGTCTTTTCTATTTTTGGAATTTTCCCATCTACTTTCCCTTGATATCTTAGAGGTGAATGCTCAGTAAAGTAAAAGATGATTCATTTGAAATTTTGCTTACAGAACTGGACACTGATTTATGTATCTATTTTTATAAAAGAATAAAATATAATTACAAAACATTTTAATGTGAATAGTTATATTTGTTATGAAAATAAAGGGTTTATTTTTCTATAATAATATCTTACTCTATTAGGAGGTGTTTTTCACAGTGTATTTTAAAAGCTTATTTTTTTTGTTTAAATTTCTTCAATATATAAACATGATGAAAATTTTCATTATTTTAATATAATTTACTCTAGCTAGAAAGCCGTGAACTTATTCACCTAATTTAGCTTTTATTCTTATTATATAACTGATCAAAATGTCATCCTTTCAAGTGCAAGATAATATCTGTAGTCTTGTTGGTATTATTTGAACTGATGGAAGCAAGCATACAATAAAGTGTATGTGTTTAAAAATCCACCAGGCCTTTAACGTTAGCTCATTAGCTAGCATACAAAACAAATGTTAGAGATTAAATAGCAAACCAAAATTTAAAGGGAATTAGTAGCTTAGATGTTCTCTTGAGAGATTTAAGTATGTCCAAAATAGTTAATCTTCAGTAGTTCACTGACTTTGCATTTAATGTATTTCCTCAGCTATTGAATTAATTGTAATATGAAGATACTGGTTTTAACATTTTAACCACTGAAAAAACCACTTAACTGTTTTTTAAAGGTTGCAAAGATCCACCTAGAATGTGCAGGTAAGATAGATTACACCACTAATTTTGATAGATGTGGATGATGGTCGCCCTTGCCCCTCAAAAACTGCTTATCATCAGTGAAAGAATTAAAACGTTAGTAGAGTTGTATGTAGTATCATAAATAACTGTAGACGGTTCCCACGCAGGGAGGCCCTGGAGGACTTTGCAGAAATGAAAGAAAGAGAAGAGAAGAAGGCCGATCTGGAAAGGGCCGAGAAGGAAAGAGGTGACCTAGCCCGAAAGACGCATTACCTCCTCAGCACAAAGCAGGTGGGTGTCCCTGTCCCTGACAGCTGCCGGCGGCCACGTGGGCCCTAGCCTGACAGAGATAAAGCGGCAGGCTGAATGGGACATGACTTGTTAAAAAGATACCACGAAACACCACTTCGAGTTCAATTCCGTGCTCCTGTGAAGGTGAGCGCCGGCACCGTGACTCCTGTGACAGCAGCTTCGTAGAGGCCTGCGCCCGGCGTGGGCAGGAAGGTCCACGTCAGCAGTGTCATCTGCTGCTGTGATAACACCACTCAAAGGGCAGGACCTCGCTTTAAAACCTGTTCTGAGAGGCTTATTGTTGTTTTGTGGATTGATCAAGAACTAAGAAGTTATTAGACTGAGGTAGCTTTCATATTTTCTCTTTCAATTGAGCTATTGTTGTGATTAAAGCCATTCTTGAAACATCTCTAAATTTTGAGGCAAATTTACAGGTAAAGTTTTTAACAAAACTGCTTCAGCAATTATATCTATTCATATAGAGATATAAACGTGGAATTTGGAGTACTTCCACATTTATTTTCTCCTATGTAGCGAAGTTTCAGTGCTTCAGGTCTCATGGTTGCTAAGGAAAACCACATTGCATGTAGAATATTCTGCTCACAAAGAAATGCGGTTTTAAACTCACCTGAACTTGGCGGTTGAGATGTGTTTTATTAAGTGAGCTTTAGGCAGGAAACTAGCCCAAAATTTCCAGGGGTTTATTCTTCCTCATAGACTTTTAAGTCCAGTCTCATAGTTTTAGACAGATTCGCATATTCATATGTCTCAGACACAAGCAAGTCAAGTCCCAGAAAGATGGGAGACTGAACCTCATTCTTTTAGGCATCCAAATTAAAAAACATCTCAAGTACCGGACTAGCCATGTATATTTGGCACAGACCTGTGGCACCTCTAGCCTCTATTTGGTAGTCTAAGTAACTGTACTTTGCAGTAATAATGACTATCTTCACATTCACTTGCATTTATATAACTGCATTATCTTCATTGAACAGGCAAGGAAACAAACTCAAAATAATGGTGTGACAGACCTTTAAGCACAAAACTAGTAGTGATAGATCTAGTATTCAAACTGAGATTTTTCAGCTCTACTTGGGCAATTATTAAAGATAATTTAAAAAATAAATAGTCGAGGTGATTTCACTTTTTACTATAATATAAATACCAATATAAAAATTTTAGGTGTATTATTGGTAAGCCACATTTAAAAAAAATATGGAATGAGAAATCAAGATTTCTTTCTGGCAAAGGATTTTTAACTTTTACTAGTTATTAGAAATTTCTATTTTGATGACACTAAGGGGGCTGTAATATATCCTTGGATCCTTTAAGTTGGATAATAATTCTTGGGTACAGTTATTTATTTTGATAACTCTGAACCCTCCTTATACTTTGGATGTTTCTTAATCTGAGGTCTAATTGTGTTGTTTATATTTATGATGACTAGCATTATAGACAAATTTCACCATTCTTAAGATGGCGAAGTTAGATTTAGCTGAAACATTTGTCAATTCTGTTACATCTAGGGTTATTTAGATGTAGAGTACATAGTGGAACAATTCAGAAAGTCTATAAAGATTTAATTGTTTCACTAATAAAAACAGAATAATACCAAATATCTATGGAGTGCTTACCATGTGCCAGAGTATGGTAGATAACTTATATGTATTATTTAACTATTTTGATTTCATTTCAGCTTTTAAATTAAGCACCTGGTTTACCAAATAATCACAAACTTGACCATGTAACTTGACTCATGGACCTTGATTAATTTTTTTGCCTCTTCAAACTTTCATTGTATTTTAGGTATGTTTGTGTTAACAAGTACAAGCTGTTAATGCTCTAGCCCATTTTTCTTCTTGTTTATAGCCATGATATATACAAGGTTATATATGTAGAAATATCCATGTATATAAACTTTAGTTTAGGGATCCCTTGTCTCCAGAAATTTCTGGTATCCAATAAATGATTATTTTTTGTGGCATTATGGTATAGTAGAAAGAATGGGCATTGCCATCAGACAGAGCTGAACTGGCATCCAAGCTTAGGGTAAAATATTAGGATACTACCTGGAATTATTTGCACCTCTGTTTCACTCTGCATCTTGAAAGAATGTTATAAGAATTAAATGAGGTAAAATACTGCCAGGCCCTTAGAGGGCATTCAGGAAGTGATAACAATCATACTATTAAAATTTAACCAGAGATAAACTAAAGATGTTAACACTTCCATCTTCTTCTGTTTTTCTTAGCCGTTGGAAGCATTCATTTTCTCATTGCCTTTCTTTACTTTCCTTTAGTTATTAATCAAAATTACTTAGAAATTTTTATAATGGTGTTTCCCAACTTTCTCTCCCCCCATTTTATACCTGGCTTCCCAGGAACTGAAGGCAGCAGAAGAGAAATGATGTTCTCCAGTAACCTCCTTTGGAGAGGAATGCTATAAAAAATACAAGGGATTTTCATTTGAATTTGGCAATTTTTTTTCTTTGTCATAGTGACCTTGGTAATTGATCACAAGTAACTGAGATAAAAATGACAACCTTTTGAACCTATCAAGACTCTTTTATTCCCAAGGCAAAGTTTTCTTCTTCTTTCTTTTTTTTTTTTGTAGTAAAATAGAATAGTGGTATCATTTAGTCTCATCTTATTTACTTTGGTCAGAGGAGTAGTTGTACTGACAGGATGGTACTAGAAATACCAAATGTTTCATTCCTTATATCCACCCGATTTGCTTTACTTAGCTTTAAATCAGCAGGTTTCACCATGACATTAAAAAACATTAAATTTTTAAACTAGCATTACAGGTCACAATTATAAACCATCTTAAGCTAACAAAAAAAATGCAATGTTTTATCTTTACCTAAAGAAAGATATACAACATGAAGATGTAATAAATACAGTGAATATAAATCTTAACTTTAAAATTTCATCAGTTAGTTCAAATATCCTATTTTGGAGTACTTATACTCTATAGTGAATTAAGACTAGGACATTGAAACATATACTCTAAGATCCTAAAACACAAGGAGCATTCAGGCTAATTCCAGTCTAATGCCAAATATTTTTAGTAGAAGGAAATTGGAGACTATAGGTAGTCTCACTGAAATTACAACCATTTATGTTTATGATTTTTCTGATTCTAATTTACTATTTTATTTTGATTAAAAAAACCCTAAACTTTCCTTAACCTAAGGAAAACTCAGAATGAAAGACACATATTTCAGTCTGAATGTTGTTACTGCTTTTCTCAATATGATTTGGCTATTATGGAAAAATTAAGCTGCAGATTTAAAAATTTTCTTGAGTCAGATCTTTGCAGATTAATTTCATTGCTTGTTTTAAGAGTTTTGACTGCAAATTAAGTTAAATAGTTAAGTACAAAATAAAATCCAAATATGAATTAAGTATTTATTTTGAAAAGCTTGTGTCAGTTTTAACTCCCAGTTTATGCAGATAGTTGAAAATTTACTGAATATTCAAGTGTAAATAATTTTTATAAAAAGTATATCAGGATAGAAAAAGCTCTGCTTAAGGAGTAGTTCTTAAAAGGAATAATTCTATTAATAATGTTTTTAGCAAGAAGAGAAACACTATTTTATTGGTGACTTTGGTAATTTAAGAATGATATTAATAAAGCTTAAAGAATACTAGTTTTCATATTAGATTTTCATAGTTCTAATATAGCTTAATATAGGTGAGTAGAAAGAAAACATTAATTCAGACAAATAATGCCTCAGAAAAGGTAAAGATTTTTGTGAGTCAGAATGGTACTGTGGATTCATACATATAAATGAAGACGTGTTATTTAATATATTAATAATTTTAGGATTATTACACTGATATACTGACATGCTCATACTGATATGTATATCTTAAAATAGTTCTAAAACCTATTACTAGGTTTTACTGATATGAATTATCTCATTTATCTCATCTTTATGCAAGAAAATATGTTAGTACTAATAGGAATTATGCCAGTAAATACCTAATATTGCAATGAGTGAATTAATAAACCCCTCAGGGTTTTATTAATTAAAAAGTTCAAGTCATATTAAAGCACCTTTTGTATATGTTTATTTCAATCAGAAAGCTTAACATGCTAAGTTATTTGCATAAATAATCAATCACCATTTACTAGTAGTAATAAGGTTAATTTGTTGCTACAGACATAATAGGATTAGTCAATTATATTTCCCAGAAAATGCTATTTGTTATGCACCCCATCACCTGTAAAACAGGATTGGGTTTAGCGCCCTTATTAAATGAACACATCAAAAAAATCTTTGTCCCTGTAAAAGTTTTCTGAAAAGAAAGCTAATTTTAGTTGACTAGAATAAGTAAAATGGAAACATAGCTCCCAATTGTAAATTTAATTTATATTTCTGCAGAATTGATTATTTAATAAAGTTATTTATTTTGATTCAATAGCCAGTCAAACTAAATCTAACACATATAGGACATATTTCCTTTGATGAAAATCTGATTTGCAGATTTGTTTTATTCCAAATAAACTTGACTTTCATTCCGTTGTCCTTGTTCTTGGGTAATAAATTATGTTGTCTGCTCCACCTACTGGTAGATATATGCAAAGCCTATTGTTGGATTCATTAAAAGAAAGAGCATCTATAATGTTGCCATTTTTAAGAATCCTTCTAGAGAACAGCAAAGGCACAGATACAAATGTAAAATTCAAAGTCCCCATCTTAAAAAATTAATGTTTAGAAATATAGTTTATTATATAGATTATACATATTAACAGTTTTCTGATTAATGAAAATATTACCGCTTTTTATTTTAATATGCTAATAGAAGGATAAATATAAAATATACTCATTATGCAGTATGATGATAAATACTTCATTTTTATTTTCTAAGGCTTTCAAAACTTTATACATATTCAAGTTGAAATTAGAATCAAAATTTATAAATTTAATTAAAATTTGTACATATTTTAAGGAAATAATTTTCATATGTTTTCCTGTTTTTCCTGTAGTGGGT